AATCCTTTAAAAATATAACAGCCTCCCTCTTTCCCTCTCTGTCTTTCCAGCTGTAACAACTTCACCAACTGTCTGGGTTCCACTCCGAGGATTTCACTGAGAGAACACGTTAGAGGGAATCAGGAAGCAGAAAAAAGGTCACAAATAAGCACCTCAGGAACAATGAAAGCTTTTCTCTATGCAGCAGTGGGAGAGTTGCTAGAAAAACTGGAAAGGTATTAATCAGAAGTGGCTATAAATCCTCTGGAGTTTTGCTCTTATAAAACTCCTCAGAGAAAGTCTTGAAGGAAATGCAGGTCAAAGCCCAAAAAAGCTCTTGATCAGAGATTGCTGGAGGAAAATCTTCCCAGACGCCGTTTAATAGGCAGCAATCACCCCAGGAGTGGGGAAGCCAAGTACGCTTGAAACATGGTTGCAATTCCTAATAGGTCTTGTCACACTTAAGGCACTGCAAGCTCCATCCAACGAACAGCTGAAGCTAGCTGGCGATTCATAAAGCCAACAGTTTAAAGTTTATTATGATGAAAGCACTTAATGACAGCCATCGCTAGGGGCCCATCATTTATAAAGCTGTGCTGAGTATTAGACATGTAGCATGACCACCAATTTTATGTCACAATTGCTACCATAAAATGACCTTTGGTGATTTTTGCTGCATGCGGTGGACAGCTCTTCCTTCACATTAGTGCTCTGTGGCTTTCTTTGCAGACTATTATGCTGTCTAAAGCTTATTTGGCACTGTCGTGAGCCTCAACCCTTGTTATTACCCCGAAGGCCTGTCTAAAAAAAAAAAAAAAACTCATGCTCTATTACGCCACTCCAATAATTTACAGTTCTTTCCAGCGTTGGTTAGCGTAATATTTTAATGCAAATATGCTTTACCATTGGATTTTATTTTAAGCGCGCGCGCGTGTGCGCGCGCGCGCACACACACACACACACACACACGCACACACAACTTCTGGCTAGCAAAATATCTGTTTTGTGGGAGTTCACTGAAATCGGCCTCTTATTCCCTGGTCAGTTCTCATTAAATAAGCACTGTTTCCTCTGGGTCAGTTAAAACATCACCAGAAAAGGAAAAAAAAAAAAGGTTAATTAAACTTCTGTTGAGAGAGATTTTTTTTTAAAGATCCTATACATGATAAACCCACCTAAGGCAGAAACACCAATTCTTATTTCCCTGCATCCAGTCGCAATGCAAATTTATATCTGAGTCACATTATTTAATTAGGCTTCCATTTTTCCACCTTCTTTGTGTAGTTAGGAAATGTTTGAATACATAGCCACTTTACTGCTCCAGTGTAAACCGCTGCTAAGAAAGTGGTTTGTCCACGCTACACCACCTTTAAATTGTGTATATAATTTTATAAATGATATAAAATCTGCTTCTAGCCCTGAAAAAAAAAAAAAACCACAAGCATGGCACACTGCAATTTTGGAAGGATTTAAAATATGTGATTTCTGCTGGTACCTACTGTATTGGGTTTTATATAAAGCTTTTTTCAATAAGGTAAATTGTTACATGACAAACTCATCTTCCACCATTATCATCTGCTGTTTGTGTTTAACCACAGGAGTCCCGCTCTAACAAAACTGTTGTAATGGCTGTACAAATTACTCAGCTGAAAGCTTTTCACCAAACAAAACAGTATTAATCAGCAGTTCTTATGAAGGTGCTAATTAAAAACAATTTTCTTCCTCAGTTTGCAATACTAAAGCCATCTTCACTTGCACAGTTTCCAATATACAGCTACTGTATTTGCTCACACTTCAGGCCCTCTATTAACTATTGAATCTCCTATTAGCCATTTTATTACATTTCTGTTTACAAGCTTGTTGACATTTAAAAAGTCACAGTATGATCTGTTTTATCTATTAAAAAATGTATTAATTGAAAAGTCAGGGAGACAAAAAAGGCAAAATACAGACTCCAAATGCACAGACTTCCAGGGCAGAGAACACTGTGAGCATTTAGCCACAGCCTGGAAAGTAAGCTTTCTGGGTAAAATGAAATCTGAGAATTAAAAGTGGCATTTCAGGCTTAATGGTTTGTTAAACACTAACAGGCTCCTTCCTAATTTGGAAATAGTCCACTCAGGAAAACATATTTACCCTGTCTAAAATCAGCCTGATTTTCAAATCCATTTTTTCTCTATGGCATACACTCAACATAATTACCATGTTTCCTACAGCCTGAACTCAAGAGGTTTGGGGTGGGGATGTACCTAGAATCTGGGGGCTGGAGCCCAGATCTCGGATCCAAATAGCTGAATCTTTCCTGTGAGTGTGTGTGTCTACATGTTTGTACATATACTTTGACTCTCTCCCCTATATGGGAAAGAGTTCCCCACCAGAGTCTGCCCCACTCCCAGAGTCCAGTGAAAGGTTCTTGCCAGACAATGCTACCAAATTGTCTGGCATAAATTGGAAACAAGTCAAATACTGACTAAGCACAAAGACAAAATCTGTGGAAGCTGATTCCTGTTGAAAACCAAAAAACACCTAACCCTCATGAGAAGGTGTGCCCCACTGTGGTAGCAGGGAGAAGGAAAAAACACCACCACCTCCTGCCTCTGGCATTAAAACCAGGTTCTTCAGCTGTCGAAAGCAGTTAACTAGTTTAGGACAGACACCTGGCTGTTGAAATAGGGCTCTGGAGGGCAACTAATCCTTCCATTCACTCAGTTAACTGCTGGATCCCCCAAATTGATTCAACAGGTATGCAGTGGTAAATTCAGCCCATACTGAAGCCAAAGGGAAAACCAGCAAGGGGCGGGCAGCTCTTCTCTGAAAACACCCGAGGAACTAGCCAGAAAAGCTTTTATGGCCCTGACAAGTTTTCTGCTGAATACTGAGCACCTAAATTACCCTTCCCTAATGGAAGTTACATTTTCATGCTCAGTCAAAAAGCCAACAAAATACACAATTTATACAAAATAGCATCAACCTCTTAGGTAGTCTTTTCTAGCACTTTTATCCCAATTCACAGCATATGTCCTGCTATAAAGTAAAATATATTTCTTATAACCAACTTGCATGTGGCTATTCATCTCACAGTATTAGAACCACCATGGGCAATATTAGAAACATTCTTTCATCCAACCAAATCTACTGAGTATGACAAAAAAAAAAAAAAAAATCATGAGTTTTATCAGAAGATAAAGGTACACAAAGAAGAGAAATATCATTATTCTTCAAATTTCCTGAACAGACAGGCTTCCTTTTTGAAACAAACACATGCATAATTACATAGACGATTATGGAATGGGCCATTTCGGTTGCAATTGATGCATAGAAATATCACAAAGTTCAAAAGAATGTAAATGGATAAACTTTTAAAGCTGCTGGGCTGGGCGCGGTGGCTCACGCCTATAATCCCAGCACTTTGGGAGGCCGAGGCGGGTGGATCACGAGGTCAAGAGATCGAGACCATCCTGGTCAACAAGGTGAAACCTCGTCTCTACTAAAAATACAAAAATTAGCTGGGCACGATGGTGCGTGCCTGTAGTCCCAGGGAGGCTGAGGCAGGAGAGTTGCTTGAACCCAGGGGCCGAAGGTTGGGGTGAGCCGAGATCGTGCCATTGCAATAACAGCGAGGCAACAACAGCGAAACTCCGTCTCAAAAAAGAAAAAAAAGCTGCTATATTTCCCTTTTCAATATCAGTATTCGATTAAACTTTGAGAAAACAAAAACTGTAAAATTATTCAATAATATAGGACATTTCTTACAAACTTTCAAAGCGCCTGGACTAGAGATATTTCAAGGTGAGGATCCCATAAAGAGTAGATCTATGAAACCCTTCACATGGTATAGGAGATCCGCTAGGTTTTAATTACATAATAAGTGTATTTCCTTACTAGGTATCTCTTGGTAGCAACAGTTCAATTCTGAAACACTGTTCTCAGATATTTTTAAAAATACAATGCTAGTTTACTTTTTAAAATATAATTTCTCCCAGAGACATAAACACTGGATTTCTCCACCCACAACACACAAATGCAAATTGAATCCTTGCCAATTCACGTATTTTATTGAGAGAAAGAAGAAAATATTCTCATGGTCCTCCTGTTCCATATTTAAAAAGAAAAAAGAATAGACCATCTTAGGTGCTACTACAGGGATACGTTTTCTTTGTCTGGCAGATTTAGTTGCAGGTTTTACAGAGGAAATAATTTTGCTGTATTTTCACCAGTATAAATGGAACGTCTGGTATTGCCTTTTAAAACATGCCAAATTCTAATTTTTAAACAAGAAAATATGAAGCCAGTGTGCAACCTATACAGTCGCCAAAGGAGAGCTGCCACTAGCTGAACTACTCAGCTAAATGGCTGGTTTGCATTGCCCTGGTCTTTATCTAGCACTGAGAATAGACTGCTGTTTTATCCAAAGAGGAATAAATTGCTGTTATTGTGATGTTAGCCCATCACTTGGCATTGCAATTCAAGTTTTTGTGAGAAAGAAATGTATGATCTAACTGCGACTTGACCTATGCCTTCTGAGATCCATCTAGGTGCTCTAATGGAGCAGAAAAAGTGGTGAATACAAGGACATGCAAACTGATGGTGAAAAATTTGTTTGATGATAGAAGTGAGCAGAGAAGACATTTGAGAGGCGCTGCTTTTATGACAGCTAAGTTTGTTTAACATGCAAAATGATGCACCCCCAGTCTCTCACCTATCACTTTAATTGTATCACACTGAATACATGTTTTTGCCTCTACTAAAGATATGAGGATACACAGCTAACCTACTAATGACATTACTGCTAAAGTGGGCACAGATGATTCCTTACAGATAAACATCTGAATTTCCACAAAAGGCATTACAGCATCTCATGGATGCACTAGGCAAGGATAAGCTTGGGTTCCCTGCAGAAAAGTCATTCTCTCTGAATCCTAGGTAGCACCTATTAAATGTTTACTATACACTTAAATCACAGCACATCACAATATATACTTATTTTAAATAAGATAATTGTGTGATTGAGTTTTTTTAAAAAACTCCCCCTGGTTGCAATCTAGTTTATCAACCATTTATTCAAAATTTCTCTGGGAAGGACCTATTTTGAAAGAGGCCTGGAGAACAGCAGCAGTGAGATTTAAGCCCTGATAAAGGCTCACTTTTCATTCATAGTCAGAGCCTAAATGTGCTCTTCTTGTACCTAAACAGATAATAAGCACTCAGCACACTCCCCCTCCTTGACACAGCACACTGAGACTAATCACACATAATTGGGGAGGAGGAGCAGAGGGCTGGCCACGCTATTGTGTCCAGAGGACAAACGGTCAGTTTATGAGGCTTTGGGCTGATGTAGTCATTTCTTATACATCTATAGGGAAAAAAACATACTGTTTAAAATGAAAAAAAGAAGGAGAGAGAGAGGCAGAGAAAGGGATGGTGGATTTAATACAATTAATTGGAGAGAGATTATAAAGATGTGCTTTATTTATTTCTTTAACCAGGAAAGAATTGTGATATTTGCTGGATTTACTGATTAAAAACTACCACCACCAACACAGAACAAAGACAAAAAAAAAAAAAAAATTAAGGAGGGATGGGTATCATCAAAAGAAATTCTGTCTCAATTAGAGGGGAAAATATTTAGGTTGTTCACCAGTCAAATTGAAGTCTCAGGCAGGCGGCTTATACATATTTAAAGACAAATAAAGGTTTAGGGCAGGAAGAGCAACAAGCAGACTGTAACAAGAGGCAGGGAGGGATCTGGAGAGGGCAGCTGGGGAACAGTATGGGTGAGGACAGGTGGAGGCCACAGCCCACACGTGAAATGCTGCAAAGGGAGCTGGCAGGCGATGATGCCCGTTATAGATTTCTGTTTTTGTAAAAATTTTCCCTGTGCACTTGATACTTTTCTTCATCTTTGAGAAGCTTAATCTTCTATCCATGTTTGGTTAAAATAAGCAGAAGAGGGTAATGAAGGTTTTCTTCATATATGTCCGGGTTTTCCTTTTTCAACTGAAAACAATAATAGAAAAAAGAAAGGTAAGGGACTCCAATTAGGGGTCTTTACCAGTCAATATTAACGTGGAGTATCATGATGACTTTTACACCAAAATATATAGTTCTGGAAATATAAATCACAGAAAAGGAACTCAAAGTAGTTCTCAGTGGCACAGATGTGACAACTCTATACATTAACATGGGGATTGTTTTTGGTGGGGGTGGGTGGGGTGTTTTTTCATAAATACCCAAACTGCATTTTGACCTCTGTGAACTATGAGGCACTGGAGGGAAGGCAGAGCTGGGGACCCTTAATCATCACCTGACCGGCCATTTGACATAGAAGTTTCTGCTCTCTGTACCCTCTGCCTCCCACCAGTGCCACACTATTCAAGCAGGTGGGCATTTCAGATCACTGCTTGAAGTCCGTGGCAACATCTGGGCACAGGGAAAGACTTGTGGGGCCCAAGACATTGCAAAGACTCTCTAGGTGGTTCTTAGAGGTTTCAACATTAATAAGAAGTCACTCAAAAATTCTTTTTGCTGATGAGGAGAACATATTCCAACAATTAGACTAGCAACAGTTCTGTCGAGACTGTGCATGGAAGTGCTGAGGATCTTTCTGTGATAAGATTTTAAAATCCAATCAGCTTTCTCGCATTTAAAGTACACTTTTTCTTCATTCAGCTGGAATAGTTTTAAAGTCATATTTACATTTACCCTAGCAAGTAATAATTTGCTATTTATAAAGACAAAATTAATATTTTTGAAGTTGGCATTTATGAGCCAACTGTTAATTACTTTTTTAGACTATAGGAATAAAAAAATCATTATTTCTTTTAATTATACATGGAGCCAATTCCTTTATCATTTCAAATTAGTTAAACACCACCCACCCACCGACCCTAAAGCAAAATGAATGGCCCCCACATCACACTCTCCCAGGTTGGTCCCTCTGGCGCATGGTAATTTGAATCTTTTTGAGGTTCACATGTCTTCTAAATCATATTCCCAAACCATGACATGGACATGCTATCACTACTAAGCACAGGAGTAAGGGGTCCACTTCCCCTTTTCCACTGCGGAACATAAAGCTAATTCAGTCTTTACTTTCTAATCCACTGTCCCAGGACGGACAGTGGTACAGTCACAGAAGTGACTTAGTTCTGTTTTCTTTGATGGAGTTTGTTCTGTGTATAGATGATTTGTTGTCTACTTAGTTAGAAAGGTCCGTTGTGGATTTTTGCTGCTACCAAAGTAGCGAGAATGTTAAGCCTGAACACAGTCCTGCAACCTTACTCTTTAATTTTAGAAAATGCCAAGAAAATGGCTTCACCAACTTCCCAGTCCATACCCACGGACTGGGACCTACCAACTGGTAACACCTTTGTTGCTACTTGCCCTAGTGATAGAGGGAGCTCACTGAAGTATTTTATAGAGGGAAGAGAGGGCCAAGCCAGCGCAATGCTTTCCTCAGGGATTGGGGATAAGGGAAAGTTGATTACTCAGTGGCAGTCAGCTGACCTACTCACTCACAATGCACTAATATACAGAGACTCAAATGAGCTCTTTATAAAGTCCCTGAGGTAATATGTGGGATAAATAATGCTTCTGTAAATATGGGTTAGAAATCACTTTTAACTTGGATTCTATGCTGACCTCTGGAGGCCAAAGCGGAGGCTTCGTTGCTGAAAGGGGCCAGGGGCCAGCCCCATGTTGCCTGTGAGCCCTTTCCACAATGGGGAAGAGAGGACAACGCTCAGAGGCCACACTATAACCCAGCCCCGGATCATTTCTGAATCAAGCAAGTCTGTTATGTGAGGGTACTTGAACACACACAAAGCTGCTAGCCAATACTTGCTTCGATGGTGGAATGTTAGGAGCTTTAAGAATAATTCCATTTACCCAGGCTGTGCTTCCTTGGCCAATTAATAATTACAATTTTAACAAATATAAAAAGGCACCTTGAAAGAAAATGAACAAAAAGCAAATCGTGAATAAAACAAATTTTCAATTTCATAGGTTAAAACAGGGTCTTTGAGGACTAAGCTAAATTATATAGCTGCTATGAGTAGCATTATGCTTTACTTCATAATTGGATGTAACACGCTCAGCCTTACCACGGCGTGAACAGCAGCAGCGGGAGTGGAGTTCAGACTGTTTACCCTTTACAGTATCCACAATTATCAACAGCACACCACACAGATTATAAGCACCAGCCACTTGTAATGTGGCATTTTGAATAGATAAGCAGAAGCGCAATATGGCTGTGTTTTTAACACAGTGTACTGACTTCACAGCCAAGCCCAAACCTATTTTCAGAGCTACTACAAAAATACAGAAAAATAAACACTTCAGGGCGGTTTTGCAGAAGTTTAAAAAACCCACAGCATGTAAAATTATATTTCAATGAACATTTGCATGAATGAGAGAGTATTTTTACCAACTGGTATCAAGCCAGCTGTAATCTCCAAGTCACATCTCTGCCTTACAAAACGATTTGCTATCTTACTATCCGAAAGGTTCTGAACCACACTATGGGGGCAATGAATTTGATTCTCAGCCTTGAGATCAAAAGGCTGGGGAGGACAGAGAAGTGTTTTATTTTTCTCCCATTGCAAGGATGGACTGAAAAGCAGTATTTTAAAAACATAGTACACCTTTGGCTGCCTGGTTCCTGAGCACGCTGGCTGCATGGTGTGGGTACAGTTTAACAAAAGCACTGGCAGAAAAGTGCAGAATGGCACCGTTTTGATTACAGGCTTGCTTTTTAACGGAAATAAAATTTCACAGTTAACAATGAGAGGTGAAAAGTTTAAGAGGCAAAGCTGTTCCTCCTGATCACTGACTGTTAATCAGCTTCATGGGTGGTTGCCTAAATCTGTAGATTTTTTTCCTTTTCTTTTTCTTTTTTTTTTTTACCTTGCACTACTGCCAAGTAACTAATTTTTTCCCCTGTTGTAAGAGGAGGGGTGAAAAACTCGGCTTCGAAGGCAGCTGTGTATGAGTGACGCGAGGCACTAATGCAGAGGGCAAAATTAAAATTCATGAATCTCTTCACGACCATTTGTGTAACAAGATTAAGACGGGACAGCGGAAAGGAGCGGCATTATCAGGCGTCTTACAGTCCTCCAGCTGGTTACGCTCTATTCCAACACAGTAGGGCTAAGAGGATAACACGCAGCCTGAAGGAAAACGCCGCTACTCCATTGGGGAGCAGCGCGTCCCAGGGACGAGGGGGCTTTGGCCAGAGATGGAGAGGAAGAAAGCTGATTGTCGCTCAAGATGGAAAACTTTTAAGCCCTAGCTATTAGCACGCGGCCAACAAAAGCCGCCAGGGTGGAGGCTCCCGGCGGCCGCGTCCCCGAGCCCCGGGCGGGCGGGCAGGGCTGGAGGGGGCAGGGGTGCTGCCTTGGGCCTCCGCCTTCGCTCCCTGCTGCAGGGCATGGGGCTGGGCGAGGAGCAGTGGCGCTCCCCGCTCCCTCCAGCGTGGCCCGCGGCTCACTGCTCCTTCCTCTGGGCGAGCTCCTTCTCCTCCAAAGAAGCACAGCTGCACTGTGCCAGTGCGGTCAGCACAGTCTCCCGCTGCTGGAGCAGGTACAGGAGGGACCAGAGGCATTCTGCTAGAAGCAGAACCCCACACCAGCTGGAATAGCTCTCATTATTAGAAATACATATCATGGGCTCCCGTTTATACCTTTTATCCAGGATGCGCCAACTGCAGAATATTCCCCTAGGTAGGTTCTACACTCTCCCCACCCCCAACAATGAAGAAGAGAACTATTTCTTAGTCCAATGTACCAATGCCAGCAAACTGTGAATTTGACTTTTCAGGAATTATGACCAGAGAAAAAATAAGGCCACTTAGTTCTTAATGTGCTACGCTTAGCAGGGTAGTGTACAACGTTGGAAATAAAATAAGGAGGTTTGCTGGCCACCAAGTGCTGACGCTCTAAAGTTCTACACAAAGGAGAGGTGGGCATGGCTGGCACATCCCAACACTCCTCAGATTTCTCAGGGAGGAGACAGATGGTATCAGGCACAATGCTGAACATCTTTGCTGGTGGAAAAACCCACGCCTTTGCTCTCCTGAGCTGTCACTGGGAAACTAAAAGCATTTGTTGTTGTAGGGGGAAAGTAAATGCATGACATTGAAGCAGCTGTCAGCTGATCCTCCTAGTTCCAGCCCCACCCTGGAGAGAAAGCCACATTATTCCTTTGGGTGGAGGAGTCCAGGGAGCCAGGAGAGGCCCTTTTCCTACCAGGTAAAGCCCTGCTTTTGTAAGGGGGGAGTTTGAAAAGGGGAAAACATCATTCCAGAGAGGCAGGTAAGATCTGAATCACATATCATTCCGTTTTTATTTTCTGACTGTGAGCAATGGACCTGACTCCACCAGTGAGAGGACCTGATTTAACTCTTTCAGTTCACAAAGCACCATTTCCCCCCAGAGGCTAAATGGAGCCTTAAAGATTCAAATAAATACATTCATTTCCAGAAAGTGAGAATTTCTTTCTCTTGCTTGGAAGATCAGATTAATTTTGCATATATTTTTCCAAAAGCCAGCACACTTCTACATTATATTATAGTCCTGGCTAATAAAGAATGCTGTTCACATTGTCCCAGGAGAAGATTAAGGTCAGGCCTTTATTTTTCTGCAGTTACAACTTGTGAAATCATGACAAGTTAAAGTCTCTTGCCAAGGTCAGACTAGCTCAGTGAAGGGAGATTTCAGTAAGGCACAAAATTACTGAAATAATACATGTTATGCTAGTCACTGTGAAATGTATTCACAAATGTGAGAATCCTAAAAAGTTTTCAGTGAAACACTTGCCTCTCAGTGTCCTATATTGCTTTATACCTATAAATAATAAAAAGGCTGATAACATTGCTTTATGTAAGCAGGCTTAGAAATCACTCTCAGATAAGTGCTTTTGACCTAAATCTTGTAGCGCCTCGATCTGACATATAACCCCACAACTGTGAAATTCTGTATGAGATTTAACAGTCTCAAACTGCCAACTGACCCAGCTATAAAGCAAGCAGAGATAAAGATTTACGGTCCAACATGATACAATTAGACATTCACCTTCTATTTATTTCAGTGCGGCTAAGCATTTAACCTACTTAAACGCTGAAGGTTTTTCATTAAAATATAAATGCATGTTTATCATTCATTCTATGCCACCTCCCCTTGCATTCTACAAATTAGTCTATTATGAATGAAAAGATTAGTTTGTTTCAGAGAAAGGAGTAAACAGGAATGGTTTCTTAAAATCCTTCTAGACATGCAAAGATAAAAGATGGCTTTACCACACAAAATAATCAGATACAAATAGCTGTTCAGAAGCAACACACCTAAGGAGTACTTTAATCAAATATTTAGGTTACCTGCCAAAAAGACCATGATCTCTTCAAAATGCAATGCGGATTAAAGTGTTATCTAACACAAGCAGAAAACTAACCTTGGAGTGGAAGTTTGAAATGTGTTCATCATAATTTTCATGTCTTTGGATAGAGAAACCAGCTTTTTCAGCTAGATTGCAAAACTGGTTTAAAGTATTCCCTCGGCGTGGGGCGAATACCATTGCTTTCCCCTAGAACAATAAAAAGGAAATTCACATATTTTAAAACTGAAAAGTAACCAAACACAACAGACATTGGTCAAAGCATTTAATATACTGCTCTCAAGTAGAAAAACTCAGTTGTTCTTGAGATGTCCACACAA